AGCAGGACAGCTGCACAGAGATCAGTGATTGAAGTGGCTGTTTATCTCATTCTCTTATTCAAAAACAAATGAACCAGGACATATTAAAGGCGGCTTTAATCTCGCGATCTTAATTGTGCATCCTTTATATTTATTCAGTCTTTGCTCTAAATCTAGATCCTCCATCTAACCACTACCAAGGCACGCTCTGGTAACTTTCTTTTCAGTCGCCATCTACTCTTGAAATAAAAAAATATGATGTAAAAAAAGACACAAAAAAAATCCTGTTTATTTCTCATTGCTGTTCAGTATGTCATCATTGTTGCTATATTTCTACCCTTCTTACCACCGATTTCTTCATGCGTCTCTGTCTTCAACCCAACAGCCCAAGAAACGGCTATTTTTCTAAATTTTTACCACATGACACCTTATATTTGGTGATGCAAGCATCACGAGATGTAAGTTTAAGCTGTAAATCAAATCTCTGTGTTGGACATTCTCAGACAAGTCAACAAACACCCTCAAGAATCTTCTTTTTATAGACGTATCATACCCTCGATGCTGCTTCTACCCGACTCGGGTTTCCCCCCCCTTCGTGTCGTTCAAAGACGCGCTGCATATACAGTACGCCTCCGCGCCGACGGACCCCGGGCGACGTTGTGCACAATCAGGCGAGAACTAATTAAAGTCTGCAACAGAAGCACCAAAACCACCGCCGCCCCGGTCCGTGACGAGGTTCGAGTTCGTGCAATTCAAGAGATGCAACACGATCTGGCCGAACATCCACTTGGCTGTCGGGCGGCAGCGAGAGGCGAGGACATGCACCTGCCGTCCCCCCAGTGGCTGCGCTCAGCAACAGACCCCACGGGCGTCATCCAAAATCCCTGGGAGTGAGCAGAAAGGTGTGGCCTGTAGAACCGCATTCGAGCAGGTGCAGTCTATGATAAAACGATAAAATATCACCAAAATCACTTCAAGTTTAAGGATAAATGTCCTGAACAACTCTGGACTTCTTAGCGCAAGATTTGCGTTTAAATAAATGTAGGACTCCAGCTAACAATTATCTTAGTTACTGATTAATCTGTCAGTTTTTCTGATGATTAATTGATTATTCGGATATGAAGTTGCACATTCTGCTCATTTTTTTCATTTAAACGCTCAAGCCTTTGTGTACAGCATTAGAAATACACAAAAGATGCAAAAGAACAAATAAAGGAATTGCTTTTTAAAAAAAGAAAAACTTTTTTTTTACTGAAATGCCATAAATATTTCTATTTTTTGTACAGTTTTGACTTAATTACTGCTCTAAGTGTTTTTCAGAATATGACCTTTTTTGAGTCTGTGCTCTCCAGTTAATCGATTGTTAAATTAGTTGACCGTAACTTAATTAATCGATTCATCTTGATTCATCTGATTTATCGTATCAGCCCTAAATAAATGCCTCCAGAAGGAATATTTTATAGACAGACAAGACATAGATTGAGCTGTTGATGTCAAAGAGAAGCTAAGAATACTGCAACCACCGTCAAGCACGGTGGTGGTAGCATCATGCAGTGGGGCAACAGAGCAAAAGTTTGCCCAAAAGGTAAACAGAAACATAATTTATTGTCCCTCTGTGGGAAAACTATAAACAATAAATCATAGTGGTTAACATGCAATTAAAAAGATGTTCACCAGCCGCTTTATTAGCTACACCTGCCTAACGGCATTCTCAGCCAATAACAACGCCACGAAACTCGTCCAGGGAAGACCAGTTTAGTGAAAGTTCAACTAGTGACTCTGCTGTCAGAGCCAGGCGGACTGGTCCAAATATTTCAGAAGCAACTCATACACTAGCAGGTTCTCACACATTCACAGTTTGGGTTTTCAAGAAATTGTAAAAAAGAGTGAAAGAAATAAGCGAGTCGCATTGATGTCTGAAGAAAACGTGCAGCAGCACCTGAAATAACCTCTTGCTACAACCAAGGTAGGCAGAATACCGTTCCTGAAGGCAAGACGAAAACACGAGACAGTTAACAGATCGCAAGAAAAAGAAAAAAAAAAAAAGGTTGCCTGGTCCAACGAGTCTCCAGTTGCAAACATTACAATGACAGATTGAGAGTTTAGTAGAAATAGCATTAAAAAAAAAGCAGAGCTACAGCCTCCGGCGGTCACGGATCGGGACTGTTGCTGAACACGTTCGTCCCTTTCTGAACACAGTGTACCCGTCTTTTGATGGCCACTAATCCGCCCCGTATAACAGCTCACATCATCTCCAACTGGCTCCTTGTACGTCGTCACCAATGGCCACCGGATCTCAAAAGACGGCTCAACTGCGTACTAGTAAGGTGTGTCTAATAAAGTGGCCAGCAGTGAGTCTACGGCAACTAAGGAAATATGTCAGATTCAAAGAAATGTAGTCACAATCTCCCACTGAAAAACCTATCTCTCTTCAGAAAGCAAACAAAGAAGAAGAAGAAAATAATAATTTGGGAAGAAGAGACTCAATGGTGACTGTCTTCTGCTGGGAAGAAACGAACACGATTTACCATCATAGCAGACAAAAGTTAAACCAGGCTGTTTATAGCTCATCACTGACACACACATGCCCTAATGTGGACAGGGATCCATTAAAACAAGACCCAAACGACTAACCGAGGCGCCACAGATGGGGCAGCGGGGTATAGCTATCTCTCACACCAGAACTCCTTCAACACTTGAAATTACTCCTGGGGGGAAAAAAAAGCGGTCGTCAGACGTTTATTAGCAAGAGACTGAAATGGAGGGTGGCGGATCAGAGAGCTCTCGTGCGTCAATCTACCCTTCCAGTCAACCAAACACCTCCAACCAGCTGCTTTGTGCTGGGGGTGCCAGAGGTCAGAAACATTGTCAAGGGTTTAGTCTTAGATGGCGGATCTGATTCGAAAAACCACAAACGTTACCATCTCTGAAATACTGACGTTATGAATGAGTGAATGGTGAATGTGGCTACGCTTTTTTTTTTTTATTTTATTTTTTATTTTTTTCTTTAAAGCAATCCCACAGTTTTGTGTTTATTTGGAGCGGAAATTGAAACTGAAAGACACATTTTCCTCATTGCACGGCCGTAATATAAAATCCGTCATAGCATTGCTCGGTGTTGTGATGATGTGTCGCTATGACAGGAATGCTGACTCATCCGTTGATGACTGACTGCTAAGCATTAAAATCATTTGACTTTCAGCCAGGCCCTCCCCTCCTCCCTCTCTCTCTCTCCCTCCCTCCTTCTGTGCTCTCTCTCTCTCTCTGTCCTCTCTCTCTCTGTCTGTCTCTCTCTCTCTCTCTCCCTCTGTCCTCTCTCTCTCTCAGCGCTGGAAACTAAATATTTACATGCGTCGACCTGTGACGGACAAGAGATCCTGCTTCAACAAAGCCCCATCTGGCAAATGAAAAAGCTTTAGGAAAACATTCTCTAGCTGAATATACAAAATGTAAGACCAGCAATTAAAAGTGTAGAAAAGTGGCAGTTTTAAGGTTAAGCATTTATTTTCTTAAACTTCTGACATTTAATTTTGCTGACATTTAGCCGCGAGGTCAACGATTGTGAACTTTGTCTCTTTAGAAGATTTTCCTTTCTGTTTCTTGATATTTATGCATTGTTTAAAAAACACTACCTTGAGGCATTTTGGTCCCTTCACGCTGTTCTAACAAGAGCACTGTTGCAAATTGTTGATATTTGCATAAATTTCCCACCTCATTCATTCATTCATTCATTTTTTTATAGCCATTAAGAAGCCTCTGGCATTAATTTGGACAATATTTTAATGGGTTGCTTTTCTGATAAGGTCCAGTTTGTAGGTGTAGAACTTTAATTGGGTTGAGACTGGCTGATTCTAGAGGGTAATATGAGAATGTTTTGAGGTTTGGAAGCATTTCCCTGCTGTAATTATAAAATATGTCCAAATTTCAACTGTTTTTAGATGCTGATCTCAGGTGAAGTTTCATTGTTATTCCAGAAACATTGAGGAATGCACCACGAAGAAAAACATGTCCACAGCATGATGCTGCCGCCGTCGTGCGTAGCGACAACCATTTCCAGTTCATACGAGGCTGAGTCATGATTAAACGATGCAAATCATGTCTGCTGGAATGTTGTCACAACATTGTGGTGAAGTAAAAAGGCAGGATGACAGTCGTAACGGATATTCTCATCACAATATTAATGAGTTATGTCTTGAGATGAACAGATTCAACAGCTGAAACGACCTGATCTTAAAGGTTGTGCTTTTTATTATTTATTTCATTTTGATTTTTTTCTTATTTATAGTCGCAGAAAGAACTCGGTTTGCCTTCTAGGATGTAGTTCTATCTACTTTTTTTGTTCTAAAACCTAAAACGAAAAACTATGTTTGAAAAATTTCATCCACAAACAATTGGATTTTCTATGATACATCTGGAAAAACTGTAGACGTTTTCTTTTTCTTCATGTCGGTTTTATGAATACACTTAGTTTTCGTAAAAACGCCTCTTTGAATTGTCAAGGTTGCTATTTGTTCTCTGTGTTGATAGTTTGGGTCAATTGTTGAGACTCGAGGAATGTACCAATGACACCAAATAACCCTAAAAGAAAAACTAAACAAGTTGTGTAGCACTAGGACGAATGGATTACCTACTTATTTAAAAGCCACGTGTTAAATCAGTCATTAAAATCTCAAAATCAGTACAACAGATTGCATCTAAACTCTACGGAAGCCCATTTTGGCTATGAAAGAAAAAATAAAAGACCAACACGAAGTCATAATTTCGACTTTGAAAGTCATAGTTATGGCTTTCGAAGTCATAATTATGAGATTCAAAGTCGAAATTATGACTTCCTGTTGGTCTTTTATTTTTTCTTTCATGGCGGAAATGGGCTTCTATAAAACTCCTAACCGGAGCTGTAGCTAAAAAATCATCAAGTTAAAACTAAAACCAACAGCGCCAGTCTCTCTCCCCCCGTGACCTGCTGTGTGTTCGTGTTCGCCCGGTTTCTGAAACGCTAAACGCGGAGCCCCGAAGCTCACCTCCAAGCTCTCGTTGACCTCTATCCCTCCGTCGTTGTCGTCGTCCAGCTGCTTGTGGATGTGCCGCAGCGCCTCCAGGCTGAAGCGGTCGGCCTCGCCCACGCACGGCGGCATCACGACGAGACACGGATCTACGGGAGAAGAAACGTTTCACGTCAGCTCATCGTCCCACGTGCCACACGTAAAACACAAATTCTAATAAAAGAAGTGCGCTTCAATTTCCCAGAGACAAGAGATATTTGTTGTGTGACTCACTGAAAACGGCCCCCAGCGCAACGCAAGACGCGCCAGCGAGCGGGGATCACTTTCAAGAGTCGCAGTGGGAAAGCCGCGACGACAATTAAATTAGACACATTTTAATTATTTCAAGACAATCCTGGAAGACTAAAATACAAGAAGTGGTATTTAATCAGTGAAGACAGTTAGTCGGGCATTTCGTTGCGACTTATTTTCAAAAATGCAGGCAGGATTTCATTTTAAAACTCAGGATTTTGTGGGTTTTCAGAGGAGCTACTTCGGATATCAGAACAGAATATATTCAAAGCAACGAAATATTCGACCTATTTACATACGGAGGACAAAGCAAATGTTTTGTTGTGGTTTCTGCAACACTGAGTAATCAGCCTTTGCTGCTTCTGTTACAATACATAGCTTGTATCAACTAAAGAGTAAAACAAGCTAAGTCACACGCACGCTGCACCGAAGCCATCAGTCATGTCAATGGGGGGAAAATGAATACGGCAACACGGAGGCATTTCGGTGCTGTTCGCCTCCACGGTTGTTCCAGCTAACGAGGCTCCAGTTGCATGAAATCTTCCTCATCTAAAAAGGTTTGAAATGCAGCTCCAAACACACAAATTTGAATTTTCAGCACATAAATCACTTTTAAAAACTTCAGTTCACATTCTGCCAAATAAATGGGAATAATGTGCTGCACTGTTCAGAGCTCCAGACCGGCTGTTTGCACTGGTGTGCAATTAGCAAGGGGCTGCCACCGCCGCTTTCACAGCACATATACCGTCACAACACTGCATTTTTAACAGTGATATTTTATCTAATTTACCCCATAGAATGTCTTCTGTATTGAAATGTTTATATACGTTTTTTAACAATGTTTATCCAGAGTTGTTTTAGACTTTTTGTCTAAAATATGTAGACAAGAGGTCACATGTACGGAAGAGGTTCAATAAACTAGAAAAACTTGTTGTTTTTTTTTTAAACTTCTAGATCTGCAAAATTTATACCTTTTTAAGCTACTGGCTGCAGAAGGAAACATCTGTATTTTTATGATTTGACACACAATATTTCCAACATTTCTACAAGCACTTGCGGATTCCAACGAGGTCGCATCATGATTTCGGAGTCAGCCAATCAGCTCTCATTTATCCGACGGATGTCGTTCGTCAGGTTTTCAACAAGAGGCTTCAGGTCAAACGCTGACTGGCGAAGAAACAAATATTCGAAGCACACCGCATACTTTTGCCGTAAATTGCGGCATGATAGTTAGTGATCAAGTAAAATGTCATATTCCTGACAGCCTGTTAAGTTATTAATAGGATATCAGAGTAGTTAAATGTAGCACAAAGCAGATTTATCTTTAAAACAGCAGCTCGGGGCTCCTGTGTAAAAACTCTGCTGAATGTTGTTGTCATTCCTGCGGCGTCCCTTAGCGTCCCCCCCGTCTTGTTTTTATTTGACCACCCCTGAACTGGAAAGGAGCCACATTGTCTCAGAGTCCCCACAAATACAAAACCAAAGTATTAGAAAATCCTCAGAAAACTGCAGCTCAGGCGCAAACACCCACACACGCATGCCCCACATTCGTCCCGATTTCAAAGACATCAGTCAAACCGAACAAAAAAGTTTTTCCACCTCAAAGATGGGAGCCGTCAATCAGTCATGTTCTGGCCTCGGTCCAAGCCAGAAGAACAGCCGTGTCCTGCGCTGGCGAGAGTTCAAACAGAAACGAGCAACCGCAAAACCAACACACCACCACCCAACACGCCCAAACTCGGGTCTGTAATTCACGTTGGCAACAAGAAACCCGTCAGTGCCTGAAAGGGCAATAGAGAAACCAAGAGTAAAAAAAACAACAACAAAAAAAACAGCCGTGCCTTTTAAAACAGTTAATGTTTGGTAATTACTTCCAGGGCACAGAATAAAACCGAGCACTAGAGTAAGATTACGAAAGTTCAAAGATTCAGGAAATAATGTGGTGCGTGTTTTCTGAAAATATTGGGAATTGTTTCAATTGTTTGATTTTCTTCTGTTTTTCTTTCGCAGTGCTACAGTCACATGAACCATTTCTACACCAAAACGTTTCCTGACTGCAAATTTTGCCCATAAACATTGGAGGTTTCTGCACCATCACCTTTAGCCTCACTGACAGCAGATCTGACTGATTCAGTGCACCATCAGTCATGACGTCCAGCAAAATACATGTGTATAATACATTTTTTTATTCATACATCGAGTGTACTGGAAAGGACTAATGCACAAAAATCTAAAAATTATATTTTCTCTAATTACAACAACTCTGTGCTGATCCCGATGCATTTCAGATATTGCAAAATTGTATTAAACTCTTTTCTGTTGTTAAAAGTTCACACATAAAATATAATGGCACATAGCGTGGCCACTGACTTCCTGTGAAATTCCTCTCGATTAAAATCCTGCTTCGCAGACAGTCTGCGCTTTCTCCCATTTACTTGGATTCCTCCTGTAGAATCAGCGAACAGAAGGAGAAGTTGTGAACTTCGATTTTCTGGACTGTTTTAGAATTGCAGTCAGCCTGTACTTTTCCAAATACTGAATTAACGTCAACAGTCGCGTTGTTCAGCTCGGCGCTTCTCTTTCTGTGGTGGAGGATGGTTGTTTACAGCGCAGGCGATTCGCGCTACGCTTCGCGGCGTCGAACGGGTGCATTACACATGTCACGGCCAAATAAAACGTCAGACTCCACCCCTACAGGAAGCAATCGTTTCTCAGCAGCCACCTTCTGTACTAAGCAAAGCGGAGTACGAGGGGCTGGTTTTTATTAGGCAGATCTGAACCTAGAAAAGGACAAAAAGTATATAATCCCCGCAGACTGCTATAATAACAGCAGTCAAACAATTGCACACACTCTGTTTGTGCAAGTGTGCAGGATAAATAATATGGGCCACTCCTTGCTCGTTTTAATCCCCCTCTTAAATCCCCACTTATGATGTAAGAGTAAATGTTTGACAGTAAGGCAAATACATTTTGCATTTGACTAAAGAACTCGCCACGTCCCTCCCTCTCACCACAGTCCATGTGCAACTTGGAGGTCAGTCCAGAAAGAAGCCATGTTGTACATGGAGTGTGGCCGGTCATTACCAACAAATATCTGAATAGCCCATACTTTTGCTGGAGGCAGTCGTGGTGTACATACGCTACGTTGGTCGCATGGAGGTACGAGGAGAATATGCGACAATGGTCAAAATGCTAAAGCATTTTAACATCCAACTGATACAGCATTTTCATCAACTTATTAAAGGTTTGGTGGGCTAACTAATGTTAGCAGCTGTTTTATTTGTTCATTCGTTCCTAATTTAGGGGGGAAAAAAACAATCAAATTCATTTTAAAAAGAAAAGGAACTGGCACGGGCAAATGACTGAGCTTAGATGAAGCTGTGATCACGTGTTCATGTGAAGACAGATACAGCATATCAGAACTGATTTAAATGTAATGCTATACAGAGGACCTGGTGGAAACATCACGCGTTACTTCCTGGTTGGCTGAAATGACGAGCACCAGCCTTCTCTTTAACAAACCTCTGAGAAACAGGAAGGAGGCGACCACATTATCGCTCTAAACCACAAACAGAGAGCAAAAAAGTTGTACGATGTCAGAAATCCTTTCAGTAAAGTCTTAGTCAAAGAAGCCTGCATCTGTTTCCAGTCAAAAGGCACCTGAGAACAACTTACATAATGTATTTGCCTAGATCATCTGGGAAGTTTACATAGTCTGCTGTTTGCATAGCAGCATGCATATCTATTAGGCTGTTTGGTTATTTAAAGGGACACATAACTTTTTGTTTTTAGGGAGGTGTGGGGGGTTACAAGCCAGGGCCGAGACACACACACACACAGCTGCATATCCTATTGTGAGTCCAAGTTTAACTCTTAAGTGGGTTTTACAGGACTGACAGATTTTGCTTCATTTCTCTCCATATGCTGCTGTTGTGGTGGCATAATTCCTCATGATCCGACTTATCTTCCCACACAGGGAAAAACAAGAAGACAGAAGGAAAAACTGTCAGTCACAGCTGGAATGCCTGCTGTGCGACTCTGGAAGACGACAGCACAGGCCTTTCTTTCCCAGGAGCCTTACTTATTTTTTTGTATGATTGAGTACGTTTTAGGAACTGCCGTTGGCGCAACAAAGAGGAACAGGAAGTGCCCCTCGCTAACCTTGAGCTCTCCCGGGGAGAAGCACGCTTCAAAACAAAACAGCGAAGCCTTAAAGATGACAAATTTGGAAAGCACTGGGTTATTTTTAGTCCCGGCTGGCGGGGTGTAAAAAAAAAAAAAAAAAAACTCAACAATGGCAGAGGTCTCCCTCGCTCGAGCGGGCGGAAGCGGCGCTCAGACAGACGCACACACGCAGCGCGGCGGCACGACGCGAGCGGTAGTAAAGCCGTTTGAGTTGCTTTAACTCACAAACGCATGCGGGCCGTCGCAGAGAGGGCAGCAGCTTGGCTTCAAAAGAATCTGATAACAAAAGCATTTAGCTGTCAGCCTCTTCCTTTAAAGTGAAATGTTGCACCTGAAAAGAGGGTTTTTTTTTTCCTCTTCTTAGCACGATATATGCATGTCATTAACAAGCCTCTGTCTTTGTTCGCACAAGGAGCTGAAGAGAAGGAGACAGGAGGAGAAAACAATGAAGACAAAGTGCTCTGTGGTCTGGGACTTCCTCAGACATGACCCCCGTGACATTTTGTCGACCGTATTTAAACCAACTACTGCTGCAAAACTCTGCTGGCGTCCGAAAATAGATAAAACATCCACCATCCTGGAGCCGTGTCGGGAGAAACGGAATAGAAGGACCGACGTGTAAAAGAAAGAAAATGAGGCACCTAAAAAAGTATTAAAATTTTTCTTGTTTTGA